CGAGATCCTCTTATTGATTGCCCATACTTCTCCCTACGACCCGCCATTTTTCCGTCACACCCACGACACAATTTTTTTTTTTTTGAATTACACAAAGTCCTTATTTTCTATAGCATGAAGTAAAGATTACTCAAAACATTTTAACAATTAAAAAAGAAGAACAAACACTGCTTGGTAAAATAAATGAAATGCAGAAAATTGGGTACAAGATTAAGCTGAGATGGGTTTTGAAAACTTCAAAAAAGCTTGGATCTTTGATTATGGAAATGAATCAAAGTCTACGAAGTCTTCTTTGTATGTAAGAGGAAAGAGTGTAATCGGAAGGGGCTCAATGGGTAGTGGCACCGCTGTGGTTAGAATATTTTATTCAATGTGGGTTTTTATTTGGTGTTTCGCGGACCAGGTTGTCTGTAATGAAGAGTTGACTATTCTGTTTGTTAATCTGGATTCATACCGCGCATGATTTATTACGGAGAAAGAGCTCCTTATAAGGATATTTTTTTAATTCTCAGGAATTGAATGTGAGATATGCGATTAAGGATGAATAAGTGGGCATTTGGACATAAGAATATAAAATTCCGAAAAAGTAATTTTTTTTTAAGTAAAAAAGGTATTTTGAGTTGTTTTTGAATATTTGTGAGTGATCTGAAGTGAAAATTTTGAACTTTTTTTTTGGGAATTTTTCAAATTTTTGAAAAATAGTGAAATTCATCTTCAAGTGAAAATTAAAAATTTTATGGACAAACACTAATTAAAAAAAAGTGAATTTTTTTATATGACCAAACTAGTCCTAGATCTTATTCATCCCACCACAACTTTCGGTGACTATTGTGATGTTTATTTTGGAGTTTTTGCAAAATTTCTCTACCTAATTCTGTTGACTCTCTTAACATGCAATTGTAATGGAAAACTATTAAATATATTTCAGGATTTAGTGAGTGATTTTGAAGGTTAGTTAGCTTTCTTTATTTCAATAGCAAGTGTATGCTTATGGGAGTGTTTCCTTTTAGGTCTGTCTCTAATTTGGCAACAAAATCTAAGATTGTAAATAGGTTACTGAATTATTTTATTACATATAATCTTATCTAAATGAGATTTGTAAATTGCCATTTTGAACTAGAAAGAGACATGGTGTATATTTTGAAAAATATTTTTATGCACAAGGTATAAAGTTTATATTTGATTCACTTCTTAGGTCTAACTGAGGGGAAATATTTGCATTTAAAAAAGACATCACACATGAAAAATTAAATGACATTTGAAATAGACCCAAAAAAGGGGTGAAACCAGCTAGTATAGTTTTTAGTATACATATGCACAACTCTTTAAGCGAAACCGAAAAAAGAAGTTTATGAAAGTTAAATTATGTCTCAAAAAAAGTTATACAAAAGTTGAAATACACAAATTTTTTTCATCTTGAAAGAATATTTTAATTGTAGTTCAAATTATAATTCTAAAATATTTTGGCCAAACTTCAACATGGTAAATTTCATCGATTCGTACTAAATAATAAGCAAATGAAATTCTGATCTATCCCTCTATCCAAACACAAAGGGAAAATAATTAACTGCGCTTTTACTTGGGATACTCAATTTTTTTTTTTTTTGGTTACTTTTGCTATAGTAATTGTTAAATTTTGGAACTATAATTTGCTATAATAGAAGCTATTGATAGCTGTCCTCTCTAGAATTAGGCAGAGCTATAATTTAATCATGTTGGTTAAGTCTATCTTTAGAATCAATTAGTACCTGTTTAGCTTATTCGTCAAATCTTTTAGCAAGATTAAATTAACATTAACGAAAAGTGCTGCTCTCACCAGACTACTTAACAGAGATCCTTAACCAATTGAGGGTTTAACGTGACTTAGGTTCTATTTCTAATATAGTGCAATAAACAAATTTATAGTCGTCTCACCCCTAAATTTGTCTTATTATTTATACCTCCTACCTAATTTTTATCACATGCCGAGTTATTTGACACTGCTTTAGTAATTATATTGTTCTATTAAAAATTTGAACGCCCAAAGAATGCAAATTTATATATTGAATATTCAACTTTATTATATCAAACTAACTTTTCAATTATTTCTTATTTCATTGGTTAATTTCTTATATAACTCAAAGTTGTATTCAATCATATGAGGTAAAATAGATGAAGAGATCCACAGACAATTTTAAGCTGATCTCTATCAAGACAAATTCGTTGATTTTTCTAAGGGTTAAACTTTACAGAACTTGTAATTAACTTCCTTCACATAGGAAAAGTTAAGTTGTTCACTAGGTAATAATTTGGAGCAACAACAACAAACCCAACGGAGTTCCACTAGTGGGATCTGAGAAGGATAGCGTGTACGCAGATCTTACCCCTACCCTTGGAAGGTAGAGAGGCTGTTTCCGATAGATCCTCCGCTCAAACTCAAAAATTTGGAGCACATGATCAAATCTTGAACTGAACACTGAAGACTGACTATAAAACTCAAGGCTCCAAATATCATTTAAAGAAAAAAGGGAAGTCATTGACGAACCATTTTGAGGGATGAAGTCCCAAGAACTATAGAGTGAATTGACAAAATTTTAGATTCACCAAGGAATAAGCTTTATGTTGTAACTCAGGTATATTCCTTAATTGCAATTCCAAACAATACCAAAATATTACCAGAAAAGTCCAAACCTGCATTAACCACCAAAAGAATTCATCTCATATTTGTACACTTCATTCAACATACTCCTAATCTTCTCCACAGAGGGAGACAAAGGGGCTCAAGGGTTATGTATAGGGTGTGGTTTGGAGTATGGGAAGAAGAGGTAGAGAATTGCCAAAAGACTGATATATACACGTGGAAGAGCACTAGAATTGCATCCGCAAACGCCTGTGTTATATGAAGCTTCTAAACTGACCCCCACGGCCAGCAGTTTTAATTTCACAAAAACAAACGCGCACCTGTTACCCAGTATAGGTACAAAACCTGTTTAACTAATCTTCAAGCTGTTGGAGCTTTCCTGCACACAACAGAAAATAAAAGCATCAGGTTCCATTTTGTTTGTAATTTTGCTTAGCTGCACACAACTAGCATACTGAAAAGATCAGCTTCTATTTTTACTTTGGAACTCAATGCACATATCAGTTCATTTCGCGAATTGGATACAGAAAGAAATTCCCAGCAATAGAAGTAAAAATAGGATACTGTATCCCGTTAACAATGTATTCATCAGAAAGTGAGTTTCATCCAGCAATTGAAACCAGTATCCCATGAAACAAGTATTTGACAAAATCACTATACAAGGAGTCGCTTCTCACTCTTCGGCACAAATACTAAACACTATCAAACACCACCTTTTTTTAAAGATCAACAAATTCTTCCGAGGAGTGGACTCAGAATCGATGTTATAATGAATAGATAAACAGATACTCTATATGTGCCAGAAAAGATGCATAATGCAAGCAAATAATGAACTTAAACACCTGCAAGCTGTTTGTAAAACCGTCTCACGGAAAAAGAAATAAAAAGGAGAAAAAGAAGAGAGAAGAGATGATGTGGTCAGTGTAGAGTGTGCTCATACATTTTTGTCACTGGTTATGTAAGACACAACCACAGTTATGTCGTCCAACT